TATTTTAGAAATACATCTTTACAATTGCTGTTACTAGGATTTGAACTGGCAACCTTGTGATTTGTGACCTTGGAGCATAACTGCTATGCTATTGATCCTAGAGGTCATTTTTTCTTTTTTAATTTATACATATTTTTTTATTTTGTTAATGTTTTTATCTTATCTTATGTTTATAGCTCTGATCAGATATTGATCAAGAATGAGAGTTAACTGATACTAAAAAAGAGAAGGCTACTAAAAAAACTCTAAAGATTTGGCATACTTTAATAAACAATGATCTACTAATCAATTTATAATGACTATTAGGTAAGTATTAAAATGTTTAGAGCAAAAATTGTTTAAGATAATTATAGATAAATTTGAATTCATATTATTTTACAAACACTTCAGTATGCTAATTTTAAAGAATACTATAAAGATTTTGTTAAGTTTTAAAACTGATTAGAAAGATAAATAATACTAATATATATTTAGTCATATCTTAAATAAACTTAAATTAGAAAAAAAAAAAATATTAATTGGTTTTTGAAGAATGTTATAAGAATTATTTTGCAACTTAATTTGGTTAAAAAGATATTGTAAAGGTTTCTTGAAATTATAATATTATTTTTAAATAAAGATTATAATATAGCAGTTTTCAATAATAATTTATTAATATTAGTATTTATTATATTGGCAAAGAAATTTTTTATAATAATATAAGTTATTTAAAATTTGAATTAATTTTATTTGTAAAAAATTTTATTTTTTTATTGTATTTAATAATTATTTAAAGAAAATTGTTTTTGATAAATAAAAAAATAAAAAGATATAGTTCTAGCTAAAAATTCAAAACTATTTATATTTTCTTTTTTTTGCTTCCACTTAATAAGTAATTTACCATAATTTACTTTAGATTTTCTAATTTTTTTTTTAATTTAATTATTTTTTTTGTGTAGTAATAGATTTTTTCTTGCTCATGATTACAACTGAGCAGTACAAATGTTTGCTATTAATGCTTTGTTTTAAATTCTTTATAGCAAGTTAAGCATTGGAATATTCTAAAATATAAGAATTGAAATATTAATTTTTTTTTATATAATAAACAAAATATAAAAAAACTTATACTCATTAACAAAGAGAAATTTTTATTAATTACAAAATATTACTTTTAGTGCTCATGAGTTTTGTAAATAGCTCATGGGTTTTAACATAAACATATAATGGTTTAGTTTTGTTTTAATTTTTTAGGAATATAAAATAGAGTGATTTTTAGCATTTTTGATAACTTTTTTTAAAATTTGTATAATAATTTGTAGATTAAAAAAGGTTCTAATTCCAAAAATCAACTGATATGTATAATATACAAGTTTTTTAAAAAGATTTTTAAAAATATTTTAATTTTTTTATTATGCAAATCAAATTTTATTTATAATTAAAAAATATAATCTAGGAATAATGATTTGAATATAATAGCAGATTGACATTCTTTAAATAACAGGTCTAATATTCAAATTACTAAAAGTTGAAATAATCTGTATTATAATAATTGTTTTTTGTTAATCAGCTAATATTATATAACTGTAATCTAGATATACCAAGTTGAGTTCTATTTGTTATTAAAAGTTCAAAACATCTATACAAAATATAATATTATATCTATATATAAGAATGTTAATAACTAATAAGACTTTGGTACATACTTATGATAAAACTATTAGATAAGAAACTAATAAGCTAAAAATTCACTTAAACATTTCTAAATAAAAAGATAATATAAATATTTAATAATACTATTAAACTAATAAAAATTTATATATATTTTTAAGAATATTAGTAAAATAAACTGAATAACAATGATGTATAAAAAAGCATATAATCAACCAAGCTATTAGATTTATCAAAAAAAAAGAATACAAAAATATATCAAATCAGATTATTTGAATTGGTAATTTGAGAAGTCAAAAACAACTTAAAAGAAACTTAGTATGCAAAAATGAAAAAGACATTAGAAAAATAAATATAAAAATCCTAATAAACTTTATAAGAATAAAAATAATATAATATAATAATTAAACTTGTGATTACAAGTATTAAATAACTATAATATATTGTATAAAACTAGATTAATTATATGTAAAACATAACAAACTCTAGTAAGTTTTTTATTAAAAATAAAGTAATCTTAAAGATACTAATAAGAATCAAAAATTGTTTTTATAATACAAGATGAATTGCATATACAAAGAGTTTAAATAAGTAAAACTTGTAATTAACTTGCAGATATAATATCTAGTATAGAACTTATATGGAAATGTATAAGTAAACTATTTAAATTAGACATCAAAAATACATATATGGCTAGCTATAACCTTTTATATAAGGAAGTTCTTGAAGGCACTTATGTTCTATAAATTTGAATAAAAATCTTTTCTTAAAAACAAAGACTTTAAAAACATATATATATAAAAACCTATATTAAAAATATTCAAATATAACAAAAACTTAATTTTTATTTTTTAAATAATATTGATCTTTTTTATTACAAAAAAACTCTATATGGGCTAGATGCTATAGAAAAAAAGAAATTATCAAATTTTTTTATATAAATTAATTTAAAATACAATCAAGATCATTTTTTACTTAAAACACAAAAGTAGTTTTATTAATAAAATTTTGCAATAAAACTCTTTAAAATTTATAATTTCTTATAGCTTATTATAAAATTTATAATATAAAAATAGATTTTTTGAAAATCTTTTTTTTGTTGATTTCTCTCTTTTCTATAGCACCTAGCCTATATATATTATGATCAATAAAAATTCATTCAATTTTAATTAACAATGATAATTTAAAATTAATTGATAATTTAATTTAAAAAATTTTTAATGTAACCAAAAATTTTTTCTAATACTAAATAACAATTAATATATATTAATTAAAAAATTTTTTGATACAATAAACTGAAATTGATTATTAAAAAATTATTATAATGAATCAAAAGAAAATAAAAATCACAAAAGAATATCAGAAAATTTTGATTAATGAATATTGTTATTTAAAGTTATTAATCAATTAGCAACATCTTTACTGATAGAAATCATTATGAATAGAAATCAATAGTTATTGTGTATTGATTTCTATCAATGTATATAAAAATCAATGTCAATTTCTATTGATTTAGAATCGATAGATATTGATAAGTATCAATGAGTATTTTAATCATTATTAATCATTGACTGGTTAACAAAACAATCAATAACTATCAATTATAATCGATAGAAAATATCTAACGATTATAAGCACAACCACCGCTTATAATTTAAATTTAATCGATAACAATCGAATAATTATTAGTAATCAGCCAAAAAAGCTTCCTGATGAATATAATACTGATCTTAATTATCTACTAATTATTAATAATATTTTATAGTTAATCGTTCTTGTATTCATGATTTCAGCTTCAAAAAATGATTTTTCTTATCTGATTAATTCTGATTAGTTTTGCATTTACGATATCCTGAAAAAGTTTGCGTAGATGATATTGTTCCAGATTTGGAAAAGAAAATCATAGGCCCGACGAGGTCCAAACATTTTTTTAATTTTCGGGTGCTAAATTCTTTGAAATAGGCTTTTAATACAAAAGAAATTGAATTTATTAGATCAATGATTCTATATCAAGATGATGAAATATTGGTGATTTCGAGCTTACTACTCAAGGTAACCGCTTTACATGATAGATTAATTAATCGAAACGCCCAATATTTATTTCACAATTTCACATTAAAATGCGTAACCATGTTGATGATTATTACTTGGCATTTATTCATTTTGATTTTACACAAATATCATATATAAATTATCTATTATTCATATTAGAATAATGTGTACCTAACCTTACACCGCGTTTTGTTCATAGATAGCATAAATGTGTCATTTCTACTTTATTAAATTTTTTTATTTATTTTAGTGATTACGTAGTAACACAATTACGTCAAGATTCATTAATTGTCGATTAACAATATAAATAATGAGGCATTGCCGCAAGTCAGTAATTTTGACGTCAACTATAGACACATCATTTATGTTCTAAAATAGTATTAGCGTTAGGTAGTTTTGCGTTACTTACTAATTCTAATGATATATAATAGCGATAGTATACGTATCTCTATCGCACTAAATATAGTAGGTATTTTATAAGTTTTTTGTTGGGGTATTTTGTATAATACCCAGTCTTTTAATCGATAGATATCTCTATTTGTTACATTTTTTATAAAATTTTAAATTTATTAAAAGATTATATAGTAAAAGTAGTGATACGATTGAGTCAACAATAATCGTGATCAACTGATTACGATCACGGTATTATATATACGGCGATTGTAATACTGTAATAAAAAATACTTTTGATTATATTAACTCTTGATCGATTAGTTGACACCTAATATCTTGATGACGTTTCAACTAATCGGCCAATCAATTATTATTTATAAACCATTCTAATCAGAATTATTGGAATCATTTAGGCATGGACCAATCGAGAAAAATCCCGGACGAAAAACTTGTTATTAGGAAATATTTTTAGAATTTTCTATTTTAAAAAAATTTGATATTTTTTGAGGATAGAATTAGAGAACATCAACGGGAAAATACTTTCAAATCCAATAACAATATATGCATCATCATCAATATATATACTTTATTAATTCATAAAACTGATGAAAGTGTCTATATATTTTTTTTTCAATACGCGTGTATCTTGCTTCATCAATGAAGGCATCTAATTTTATTTTGTCCAAATTATTTAAAACAGCCTAGATTATAAGTTAATACTTGGTTATATAGTTAGTAAGCCATCTTAAGTAATTAAAATTAATGCAAATTTTCAAACTAATTTAATACTAATGTAATTTATAGATATAAATACTCTATTCAGATTAGTTGATTATTAAACTAAAGCATATTAGATAAAACATTGATTTTTAACCAATACCTTAGGATGTTTAAAAATTTATATATAATTAATTTTTAGCAAGTCTAGCATTAAGTGCAGTCTCAAACTTCTTATAATAGCCCTTTTCATCATAATCAACCGACTTCTTTGCAGATTTTCGTCTGGGCCGCCTTTTTGGCCGTGATGGATCATCATTATTCGGTTTTCTTTGTTTTCTTGATGTGGATTCTTCTTCCGATGATAATTGCTCATAAAAATCATCAAATACTTTATGTACTTTCTTATAATACTTGTCATCGCTGTAATTGATTCTTTTAGATGTCACATGACGCTGTGACAACCTTCTTTTAGGCGAATATTCTGATGAGTCGGATAGCTCTTCACTTTCCTCTTCGCTAGAAGTTGGTTGATACATATCTTTTTCGCCCTATGTATCGATATTTTAATGAAGTACCAGTTTATAGATTTGCCTTAACATAGAAGTACTTGTACCTTTGCATCATCGTTCTGTTGATCCAAATCACCGTTTTCTGACAAAGATTCGTCCTCGTTCAATATAAACGGTTCATTAGTAATTACTACTTGAGCTTGATATTTAGGAATGCTTTCGTCATCAATGCCAGAACCACCAGAGTGGTGTTCAGAATCGGGAACTACCACTGCAGTTCTTTTAGAACGAGTCCTCTTTGGCATTTTTGTTCAATAAAATGAGTGACAGGTAAAAGCAATTATTTCTCTTTAATGATTAGTAACAGTCAGGTTAGTCTCACCAATCACATTTTAAATCCATGTGATCTCATTAATTTATGTTACGTGAGATGTTCATATAACAATTGTACACTCGATGACATTTGACCACCTAAAAAACAATGGGATTTTTTATCATACTACTTATTAAACACCGTTCCGTTCGTTTGTATTTTAGGTCATACTTGCTGTAGATTTTGTTTTATTATACTTTATTATTATACTCGGATTTAATCTCATAGGCAGAAATTTGTCTGATTGGCTAATAAATTCAATTTAATTTTACATAATTTATACAGTTTAGAGTACTTTTGTAAAAAACGAAAACTAATCATAATGAAATAAAAAAAAAACGCTGTATCGAAGGTTTCATTAGAGTTGTAGGACTCTATAGCCAAAAATAAGACCTAATCATCCGTTTAAAAAAGTTAATATAGTAATAACTTCTCAAAACCTGTTAAAAACAACTTATTACTAAGATATATTTTTTTTTTAAACGGACGAGAATTAGATCTATGGAGTTTTCGTTTTTTTAAAAAGTACTCTAAACTGTATAAATAATGTAAAATTAAATTGTATCTATTAGTCAATCAGACGAACTTCTGCCTATGAGATTTAACTCGAATTCGATTAAATTTACGTCAGATAAATTTTAAAGAGTTTTTATTAACAGTTAAGGTTTAAGGGTGAAAACTACGTCTGAGTAAGGGATTATAATTATTTTAATTCGTAATTGACGCAGATATTAATTTGACGCACAACAAATATACGCGTACTTATGTACATACAATTACAATTATTGCTAAATGTGCTGAATAACGATAAACTGGGTTGGAAAGATTCTATATCGATGAAAACTATAAAGTCTAAAAATAGAATTCTTTATGCTTTTAATCGATCTAGTCAATGATTGTATGTACAGTAATTTTAGATATATACTTTATTTAGTAAATTCTCTTACATATCTATTTTACATAGTAAGTTATGAAATAAGTTATGTCTTAATCGTTGCGTTACTAAACTTATAAACCTTGTTCGTTTATTTAACAATGACTACCATAATCTCTAAAATCTTTTATGGCACCTTAATACATTCATTATCTCTCACTGAACTTGAATTCATTCACAATGCTCTTTTGGGTGTCGACAATCGGGGCAAAATTGCATTCTTAGAACGTAATGTTTCAAACGAGCAAACTTTACGCGATATTATTAAGAAATGGGAAGCTACTGAAGATAAAGTAAGTGTATAAAAAACGGTTACAATTATATAAATTACTTGATTTAATTTGGATTGGTTTTTTTAAAAGGTTGTTCGTTTAACCAATCAACAATTTTTATTACCCGGCTTTGTAGATACTCATATGGTAATAACTTTTGTTTCTGACTTATTATTTCCTGGCTATTTTTCTTTGTTGATCGTTCTTTTTTCTTAGCATGCATCACAATATCCAAATGCGGGCATTGGCATGGACCTACCTCTAATTGACTGGCTTAACAAATATACTTTTCCTTTGGAACAATCCTTTTCATCAGTTAAATTTGCCGAGAAAATATATCCAACTGTTGTTAGTCATTTATTACGTTGTGGTACTACCACCGCTGTCTACTATGCAACTATTCATCTAGAGTCTACCAAATTTTTAGCCAAGGTAGTTCAACAAAAAGGTCAAAGAGGATTCATTGGTAAAGTGAATATGGATTGTAATAGCCCCGAAACTTATGTTGAAACAATAGAATCTAGTGTAAAGGACACTGTGCAGTTTGTGGATTACGTATTGAATTTAAAAAATGATCCTCCTGATGTGTCTAGTCTTGTTACACCAATCATAACACCAAGATTTGCAATTTGTTGCTCATCTGAACTTCTGAATGCACTTGGTGAAGTCGCAAAGAAATATGAAATTCCAATCCAATCTCACCTCTCAGAGAATACAACTGAGATTGCCATTGTAAATCAATTGTTTCCACAACATGAAGATTACACTACTGTATATGATCACCATAACCTTTTAAATCATCGGACCATAATGGCACATGGTATTCATCTATCTTCCCAAGAGCTTAAACTAATCAAAAAACGTAATGCCGGAATTTCTCATTGTCCAAATTCAAACTTCACACTTTGTTCTGGTGTGTGTAATGTTCGTCAGTTGCTCGATGAAGGTATTAAAGTTGGTTTGGGCACAGATGTAAGTGGAGGTTTCTCTAAATCGATTTTAGATTCTATACGAAATGCTAGTATTGCTAGTCGAGTTGTTTATCTTTCATCAAACACGAGTGATAAAGTTTACCCACATCTCACTCTTCCGGAGCTTACATACCTAGCAACTATGGGTGGTGCACAGCTTGTGAATCTTGAAAATGTGATTGGAAACTTTATAGTTGGAAAGGAATTTGACGCGTTATTGATTGATCCGGAAGTGGAGGGATCACCTATGCAAATGTTTGATGAAATTGATACTATTGATAGAATATTTGAAAAATTTATGTTTCTTGGTGACGAACGAAACATTAAAGCTGTATTTGTTAGAGGACGTAAGGTATCTGGCATATAGGTGCAGAAACTTGGAAGCATGTGATTACGTCAAAAATATATGAGTTACGTCAAAGTTGGTATTAGACGTGATGTAGAGATGTAATAGACGTAATCTGACTGGCCCTTAGGCCAGGGGACTAGAACTCAAACTTTTTGCGGTTTTTATAGTTTTTAATTAGTAATATTCTGGCTTTTAAGCCTGGGTATTGCTCCAGGTTAAGGATTTATAATCTTTATATTTTTTAATTAGCTCTTAGGTCCGGATGTTGCCTCTGAGGTTAGAGTTTAAGTTTTTCATAGTTTTTAGATTTAGTTATTTGTTTTAGAAAATAGAATTTAAAGTTTTTATAGTTTTTATAGTTTATTAATTTGTATTATTTTAGTTTTTAGATATGAATAATATCAATTTTATTAAAAATTTTAATATATTATTTTAAACTTTCAAAAAAAAACAATTTCATTAAATTTTTTTTAATATTAAGATGAAATTATGATTTTATTTTCATTAAAAACTTAAGTTTTTTTACAAATAGAATATATAAATAACTTATATTTAAGTTTTATATTAAGGGTAGAAGGTATGAGAACTTTTTTTTTTTTTTTAACTTTTTATTGCTTGATCTCTAGTGAGCTGCAGCTGATGGCTATTTTATTAGTTCAAAATTTTCAAGTTCATGGAACCTTTTATCAGGATTCTGTCTATTTTTACATTAGTTTATATACATTTACAATATTATCTATCTATTGATTTTTTGTGTTCCTATTATCTTGGAATTTTACCAGGATTATTCCTAATCAAGGATTCCTTTGTTCTATTATTATCTTCAGTTTCCTAATCATCATGGCCTTCTTATGTTAGGTCTGTTATCATTTAAGAATCTGGATACTGAAGATCTTCCTATTTTCATAATGCACCATTAAATATGATTAATCAACAATTATGGTTTTAATTCAGTTTTTTGTTTTCTACTGAACTTGAACTGACAATCTTATAATTAGTAACCTAAGAGCATAATATAATCATTTTGTTATTGATTTGCAAGTCTGTAGAATATTTTTTATATAGTTTTATATATTTTTTAAAATTTTTATATAAAATCAACATATACTATTAATAAAATTTTTAAATTACTATTAATTTTCATTAAAATTTTACAAACTATAAACAAAATAATTTATCTATTATAATAAAATTTTGAACTATTATTATATTTAAAAAAAATATAGATTTGTATATATTACAAAGTTTTTTTATATTAGTTCAAAAAATTCTGAAGTAATACAAGATTGTTAAATTTGATTAGTTGATTTATATAACTTAAAGTTAATTTAATTAATAATTTTTATATTTAATCTTTAAAAAATCATATTCTACTAAGTTTTTAATTAAATTTAATAATTTTACTATTATTAAATTAGTAAAATCTGCTTTATAAATTTTTTTTATTAATTTACTTAGTATAATTTTATATAAAAATAAATATAAAAAATTTTATCATTAAGTTTATATATAATTTTAATATAGTATTACTTATTCTTAAAATAAATATGATTTTATAACAACTTTATATAATTAGCAAATCAAAATTAAGTATATAATTATATAATAAGTTGTTTATTATTAATTACCTAAAATTAGTTATAAATTTTTTAAATTTTATAATAAAAAATAAAAAATAAATTTTATTAATTCTAAATATTCTTACAAAGTAAATTATTAAAAATAGTAATTTTAGTATAATAGTTAGATTATTATTTTTAAATAATAGATTTAGAGTTTAAATCTTATTAATAATAAAATTTTTAAAAAATAATTCTATTTTGATAACTTAAACAGAATATTTGAGATTATAATTTTATAATTTTGGTTATACCAAGACTAATTTTAAAAGTATACAATATTATATAAATAAATTTAAAAAGTATATACTCTAAGAAGTCTTGTTTAAAAATTCTGAATAGAAAAATAGTATGATTTTTAATAATATTACTTATAAAAATCTTAATTTAAAAAAAAAACCTGAAGTAAATAATCTGTACAAACAAAAACTTTTAAATAAAAAAAGTTTACCAACTTGACTATTAGTTAATCTAAACATAAAGTCAGATTATATAAAGCTTACTAGATTAGTAGTATAAAAAAACTTATAAGAATAAATAAGTTATTAGTAAAGTTGTAAAGAAAAGTATTAGAATTGTATAAACTTTACAAAAGTATAGTAGTTTAATAGTTAGTTCTAACTACAAATATTAGTTCTAACTATAGTAATACTGAATTAGTTTTTTTTTTTATGTTAAGATGACTTTTTTGGTCTTTTGACTTTTATTAATAATTTTTTTGGTAATGTAATTCTATAAACTACTATAGAAAAAAGTACAATTAACTATATAAGACTAAGTTAGTTAT